ATTGGACACGAATCTTTCCTACTAACTGTCCACCAGTAGATGGGGACTCAGCCAGTTATTCTGCTTAAATCCCAGGTGACTTCAGAATAGGATATGGCATTTAAAGCCAGCTGGGCTGTTAGATCTTTCTCTACTGATCACTATGAGGAAAAGAGATGTTCCCTATGACTGAGGTCCAACAGTTCTTAGCATCTTCAATAACCACAAAGAAGAATTGGCAAGGGCTAAGAAATATGTCCTTGGCAACAGAACAGTCACAATAACCAATCATTGAACTCTATAATGACCTATATGCCTGAGTTTCTATCAACAAAACAAAAACTGCACACAGTGCCTGGTCTAGAACAATGTAGAATACAGAATCCAAAATCCTTATTTCTGCCTCTCTCTCTCCTGTTAAATGACAGGTTGGATGAACCGAAGATTGCTACAGTCTTTCCAGCCCTGACATTATAAGATCATGAGGTGGGTCTGAAGATCAAGAGTGTTCACCCACTAAAGGGGTTTTAATTCTGATTTATGGAGTGAGAAAATGACTGTGTTGCTGATGCTACCCTAGATTAAACATAATAAAAAGGATCTTTAGAAATCTTAGCATGGATACATTGGGATACCTGTAACAGCCTCCCCTCCCTGTACTGCTGTCTCTCACTCTGTGAACACTTCTGATCTTGTCTGTCTGTATCTTGGTTCCTCTTCTTCTCTGCCACACAAACGTGTACACAACCAGAAATGTGTGCAAACCAGTGAGGGTGAGAAACACACAGGGCTGGGATGAGCCCAAGGTCTGCCCTGTCCTGTAATAGATTGCAGCTGCAGAGCAAAGGACACTGCTAAACAGTGCTCCCTTGAAAACAGTTATGGGGTGAGAACAAGTGGCCAAGAGCAGCCAGAGATACAATGATCTGAGTTGACCTGAGAGGAGTCCCCAGCAGGAGCTGATTCAGGGAAATGAAGTCTCTTCTGCTCTGACACAGAGGAGGGAATATGAGTGACCTGGTCCAACTGAGAGATCTCTTTTACCCCAAAGGATCTTTTACTATTAATATCTGCCAGCTGCGGGCCCAGAGCATCCCCTGCTGAGATCAAAAGAACCATATCTTAGCTGGAACAAGGTCATCTGCACAGGGCTGTAAATGCGAGCCCCGGCTGGCTGCAGGGATGTCAATGGGGAGGAGCAGTCAGGAGATTGGGAGGTGCTCTCTCACGCTCCTTTAATCTCGGCTGACCAGCTGTTGCCCTCCCAGTGTTTAGAAAGTGGAGAGTTCTTTGTTTTTGTGTTGCTGGATTTTTTTCTCTCCCTTATTAAATTTGTGGCTGGGTTGTTTCTTTGATTAAGTAGACCCACGTTTGCTGCTTGAGTTCATGATATGATTCCCCTCATTGAGGTTTCATTCCACTGGTGAGTTTTTCAGCTCCCAGGTGGGACAGCTGAAGAAGAGAGAAGTGGACCCCACAGGCCGAGGACTTCCCTGTCATTGCTCCTGCCCCAGAGCCTTGTGCCTGGAGAAGGAATGAGAGGGCAAATTGAATTTTCCCTATTTTGTTAAAATAACTCCTCATATGTGCAGTTGGCTTGTCAATTTGCAGGCTGCCTTTCACAAAGTATCACATTCATTTGGGAGAATGGAACTTTCAGGACTTAACAAAAATTGACCAGAGTTACAAAGACACCCAGCCCAGTGTGTTTCTCACCCTCACTAGGTGGCACACACTTCTGGTTGTGTACACGTTTGTGTGGGAGAGAGGCAGAGAAAGCAAGAGACAGACAGACAAGATCAGAAGTGTTCACAGAGTGGGAAAGAGACAGCAATACAGGGAGGGGAGGCTGTTATAGGTATGCCAAAGTATCCATGCTAAGATTTCTGAAGATCCTTTTTACTATGTCTAATCTAGGGCAGCATCAGTAACATGGTCATTTTTCCCACTCCATAAATTGGATTTAAAATGCCATCAGTGGGTGAATGCTCCTGATCTTTCAGACCCACCTCATGATCTTATAATGTCAGAGCTGGAAAAAACTTTGGCAATCTTCTCTCATCCACCATAACATTTAACAGAAGAAGAAATGGGTCTGGCTGATTAGGTCAGCTGGTTGGAGCACAGCCTTGTAACACCAAGATCACAGGTTCAGATTCCCACACAGGCTAGCTGCCAAAAAAGGGCCCAAAGTGATTAAGAGACTTGCCTGCAATCATAGCATATGTTGAGCAGAGCTCCAATACAGCAGCAAAGCTGATACTATGAATGCCTGAAACAACAACAAAGCAATATATATACATATATAAAAATCATAGGAACTTAACAACTATTGCAATATATTTGAATAGGTATAAATGTTCTAAGAAATTTGTCCATTTTAATTCACTGGTGAGGAGCTTCATTAAAGACTTTAGGAAAAATATTTCTGTATCCTCTTTACTTGCTAAGCTATACAGGAAAAAGATACAGAAAAACCAATTGTTTCCATTCTCTCTTGGATTTCATAATAAGGAAAAATTATCTAAGGATGAGCTGGCAACTCTCCTTTGCTGTAAACATGACTTTAATATTTTCTTATAGCTATTACACTGGAGCCCAAAAGCAATTTTTGTATGTGTTTTGCACCTCTTCTTTACTTAAGATAAACCAGGAAGCCATGACAAAGAAAAGTACCATGAGTTATTGGTTTTCAAATAAGGAAGCAAGATGCTCTCTTCTGGTCTCCTCCTCAGAGCTGAAAAAATGTGCGTCCATGCATGCGTGCATGCGTGCGTGTGTGTGTGTGTGTGTGTGTGAGATAATTATAACGACAATTTTTAATGATGTTCATAGGTGCTTTACGTGATTCTCATGGTCGTTGTTCTTCCAAAGTACTTAATGATATTCATTCAGCATTTATTTACTGTCTACTGCATGCCTAAATCTTTGTTAGTCACTGGGACAAAACATGGATACAAAAAGAGCACAACACAGTCTGTGCCCTTAAAAATCTTCCAATTTACTCAGAAAAATATGAAAAGTTAAATTAAGTTTTCTAGACCTTTTCTTTATATAGCTGAGCAGATAGAGAGGCCACAGAGAAGAAAGTGAAATCAATTAAAATGGCAAGGAGGTTTCGTGCAAGAGGCAGTCTTTAAATAAGCCTCGAACAAGTGGATTTGTGAAGAGAAGCAGCAGTAGTGGTGAAAAGGAAACGCTGTTCTGGATGGGGTGGGCTGTCTCTGCACAACATGCAGGCGGGAGAGGGGAGAGGCAGGCAGGAGACAGGCACACTTGGCAGATCTTCAAGTTAAGATAAATTTAACTTTTCATGTTTTCCTTACTAAACTGACAGATTTTTAAGGGCACAGACTATGTTGTATTCTTTCTGTATCCATGTTGTGCCCCAGTGACTAGCAAAGTTTTAGGTACACAGTTGACAGTAAATAAATGCTCAGTGAATATTACAGGAGCTGCACATAAGCTACTGGCAGGAACCAAGGTTGAACAGAAGGAAAGGACAGACTATGTAGGGTTAAGAATCATTAACTTTATCTAGTGGTGTTTTGGAAACTGGTTCACCCAAAAGAAAACAAAAAACAAAAACTCCTGATTTTTAACATTTGCTGACTTCCATGGTATAAATACTTCCACCCTGGTTGATTTCAAACTAACAAACTCCAAATTCCTGATATTTTAAAATCAGCTTACTGATTTTAGCCCATTCTCAGAAAAAACAATTCTAAGATTTCAGAATAGGAGAGTGACATAGGATAGAATAGGAGAGTGACACTGGATAGAATAATAGAGTGACATAGAATAGAACAAGAGAGTGACATAGAATAGAACAGGAGAGTGACTTCTTTCCAGATGTCAGGCTGGGGACATTTAATTTGGTAGTGGCAGAGTGGAAATAGCAGAGGCTAGTGTGGAGAAGGCCATTTTGGATTTTATTAAAATAATCATATTGTGATTATAAGAAACACAGATTAGAAGAAAGGGGACAGAGGAAAGATGTATTTGGAAGGAAGAACTAAGCAAACATGATGATGAAGGAGTTTGAGAAGGGAGGAATACCAGGTGATTCAGGTTTTCAGCCCAGGTGAGAGGGGAGTGATAATGAATCGCTGGATGTAGAAAGAGGGTACACAGAGCATTTTACAGTATTTATAAATAAGCTGTTAGTTTTCATTCTGAAAGAAACCATTGAGAAGCAATTTCTGAGACCATAAACCAAGGCTGATCCTTAGAATACCACCTGGGAAGTCAGTCAGGAGCCTTGCTAGGACTAAAAGTCCCCTGTATGCCATCATAAACAATTCTCAGAAAGTGGAAAGGGAAGAGGGGCCTGGAAGAGCTATGCATATCTATCAGGCCCACAGCATTCTGCCTGAAAGATATTAGAGTGCAATTAGAAGAACTCAGAAATGTCAAGTAAGAACTTTCAATAAAACCAGAAACTACCCTCTGGTTTGCTGATGTAATTCCCCCAGCTACGTCAAGCTCATTGCCATCAAAACCATAGCCAACCTGACCTTTGCTAGCAGGGGAGGTGGAGAAAATTTTGCAGATTCATCTCCAATGTGGAGATTTTCTCTTAATCTTTTGGTAAAGCTTGATCAGGAATGCCACATAACTGGCACATGAAACTGGTATACACTTTTAGCCAGTCTAACGGTGCTCAGCACAAACAAAAGGCTAAAATGCTGTGGGACCACTGGTAAAGCCAACCTTTGAGCATCAGTCTCAACAGCAAAGTCATTTGAGGAGTGACAAGCCTGCAAATGGAGGTAAGGGACTCCTATAAGGATGACTCACTCAAGTGAAAAGGGAGCTCAGTTATGCGTCCAGTACAAGAGACTCTCCAAATGTAAGAGATCGGATGCTGGAAAGGTGGCCAAGCCTAAATCACCAGGCTCCGGCTGGGTTCATTGGCCAGGGCCTATTAGCCACGTCTCCCAGCTCTCAACAAGAGGCAGAGAGGCAGTGGGGCTGTGCGTCAGTGTCAAATTTCAGCCTCTTTAGGACAGATCTCTTACCTTCAGACAGGGACAAATCATCAGCTGGAGACACCAGGTCTGCCTGAGAAGCGAGGGCTCCGCTCATATGGGTTGTAATTTGATTCGTCAAGATAACCTGTGAACAGACAGGGAGAAAGGAGGGGGAAGGGAGAAGAAAGAGAGAGAAGACCAAATTAATTATTAGAGCTGTCAAGAGGCAGACTGTGGTTTAGGAGAAGACTGATAAATACACAGGTAGGAAAACCCAGCTCTGACTTTCATCGCCTTCATCTTTAGGTCAGAATATCTAGCAAGGCCTATTGGCCATTCAAAACCCAGAAGGTGTAGGAAACAGACCGACTTTTTTCAGGGCTTAAACCACTAATCAATTCTTTCTAAACACTGAGTAAATTGGGATGGAGAGGTGTTATCATATGAGCTAAATAATAGAAGGGTAACCAGAATTAAGAGGCACACATACACATTTTATCAAACTTTAATTGTTAATATTATATCCACAACCAAAGAAGATATTGCTGGTACTGAATACAAGTAATAATTTAAAATATGGATACCTGTGGGTTCTTCCCTTGTTAACTCAAAAGTCAGAATTTTATTTTCAGATTTGTGAGACAGGAATAAGATTAGTCTGTAAAGGAATAATGCGGCTGGATTTCTATTCTGGTGGTGACGGTGTACTCACCTTAAAGAGCAAGGTAGCTAGAAACACAAGTGGTGAATTAAAAAAAAAAAAGGAATAACCCTTCTCTTTTAAATTAGGTAAATTTTAACAAAGAAGTCCAAAGTCTCACTATGTATCTACAACACAAACTAACATAATCCTAAATATATAAAATCATAACATTTAATATTCCTGGAAAGGATTCAAACTACCTAATTCACATGGTCCAATATTTTCACATTTGGTACACTCAAGAAACTATTCTTTTCCTTTAAAATCCTTATTTGTAAAATCTACCTTATTGTTTAGCAACCTAAAGGAATAAGATACAGATTCTCTCCTAGAAAATTGTAACATGCTTATTATCACCACAATCATCTTCCAAGGTTTGGGTGTTCTCATCATGGACAAGTATGATGAGCATACTGGTCACTCAGAGGAAACAGCCCTTCTGAAAAGAGCCCTGGGCATTCAGGGCACAATTTAGTGCTCAGGATATGCTCCTCGCTGAACTGTCTTGGTCTGTCCTGAGGGTTGGCTATGGTTTTGTTACCATGCTGATTTGAACAGAAATGGAAATCATCTCCATTCTTTACTATCCAGCTTTTCAGCCACACCTCTGTCACTGTCTCTTGAATGGACCAATGACACATTATAAATTCAGTACCAATGGCAGCTTAGTCGAGGGCAGACAGGGGAGCAGGATGGCAAGGTCAGGTAAAGAAACAAAGTCCTCTGTTAGCAAAGACAATCTTTAAAGGTCTTTGTGTGCCAGTTAGGCTTGTGTTCTCCAGTTACTCTGCAGTGATGATCAGATATTGCAGGGTTCCACTCAGTATTTGCTAATCTTATCCCTCATATTCTTCTGTATTTCTACTTTTCAGCTGGATTGGTAAGAATCACATAAGATACAGTATGTCTGCAATTAAAATGGCTGGAAATGGTTAAATAGGCTGCTCTTTTAAAAAACACCTATTCATAAGGAATTGTGTTCATTTCCCTCTTTATAAAATAGGGTATGGGCTTTGGAGTTCTATAATACTGGATTCGAATTCTGACATTTACACTGTGTACGTTGGGAAAGTTACTAAGCCTTTGGGCTTCATTTGTACATCGGTAAAATAATATCTACTTTATAGAATTGTTATGAGACTTGAATGAGATAATCAATGTAAGGTATTTAATGTAGTGTCTGGTGCATAGTAAATATTTAATAAATGGAAACCATTATTGTTGTTATTATTTCCTTCATAATGATGATATATAGGTTAATAAATTAGTATATGCCACATGCTTCACACAATTGTTTTAGTAATAGTACACTAAGTCACAGTTTTCTACATCATGATACACTTTGGTACCTGATCATTTCTACCAATTTTAGTCCTTAAGTTTTACTTAATTGCAAAGAATTTGTGTAAAAATCTCAGTAATACAAAGATAGTAATTATTTAAAGCAAGGACAGTAAGATACTGACATAACTCTGAAAACAGAAATAAAAATCCTACATGCATTATCTACAAGTGAACAAAATAATGTATCTCTCTGTCCTAGTTTAAAAAAAAGTGAAACTTATGAGAGATCTAAATATGTAAGCTCTAATTTTTATGGGATTCTTCTAAATGATGGCTTGGTGAAAATGACTAGAACTCTAATGATATGGTAACAGTAAAAAGAAAAAAAAATTTACTGAATGCCTACCATGCAAAGCATGATACATACATGGGGGAAATTAAGTGGTAAAGACACTGTATGTCTTCTCTAGAAACTTATAAATTAAATGATAAGGCACTGTAAAAAATTTAGACCACTTTTTCTCATTTCTGTAATGGAAACTTGTACTGAGATGATGGTTTTATTGTATAGAACTGATGAAATGATACACTGCAGAACCTAAAACCAAACTATAGATGTACTTCAAAAGATACCTACTTTCATTTCCACTTCCGATGGAAGAACAGATGGACAAGAAAACATTTCACTCTCCAATGGCAAAAGAACAATCTCCTATGTGGTTTTACTAATAATCTTCTCCCTTTTTATTATGAGTCTTAAAGCCAAGTCACTGAAGGGATACACAGCAACCAAACTCAGGGGGTTGCTAATCATGTCGTCTTACTGAATTGTTGTGGTTTTCTAAATCCATGTTCAGCAAAATGATAGAATGGAAACATTTCCAAAAGCATCAATTATAAATAATCACAACTTGGGCAGAAGCCTATAGATGTGTTTTTCTCTGAGGCAATCTGGAGACTTGAAAACTATACTCTTAAAATAACATAAAATATTACAAGTTATAAACAGAGCCTTAACACTATCTGGTTTCTGAAAATGAGTTCTGACTGACATTTCAGAGGTGCTTTCCTACTGCTTTGCTTCATTGGAAAGACTGGGACTTCTGAGGCTCAGTACTAAATGTGTAAAGAGAAGTTTGCACAATGGTTAGGATAAGGCTTTGGAATCAGACCTCAGTTCTACTACTTACTAGCTGTGTAACATTGGGCAAGTTTCATAACCTCCCTGGAGATGATAATACTTAACTCACAGGGTTTTGAGGATTAAACTGGATAATGCACATAAAGTCCTTAGCACAGTACCCAGTTTATGGTAAATGTTACCCCCACCATTGTCATTGATTATCCTTTGCTGATTCGTACCTTACTTCTTTAGATAGAAAAACCCATGCCTGTTTCCCCTTCATAGAGCAGATAGCCCACTGGTGACAAAGAACAAATATTTGCTGCTTATATGTTCAAAAGCAATAAAAATTTAGTTGAAAGTACATCTGCTATTTTTGCCATTTTCCTAAAAGTATGGCTTATGGAAAACATACAACACACCCAGCTAAAATTAACTATAAAACCAAAGTGGGACTCTAAGACAAAGGGAAAGAACTATTTGATCTATAAAGTAATGAACAAAGGGACATAATGTCCAGAAACACACTAAAAGATTGTCAAAATGCTAAATTATAACAAGCCCAATCTTGTGACAAGAGTCTTTTTGGACTCTGACACTAATAAATAACGGTAAGCCAAGAAGGTAAATAGCTTCAGCTTCTAAGAAAGTCAAGTATATGAGGCAATCCTAAAGTGAAGTCCGTTTCAGTGGCCCCTAATACATGTGGCTTGTCATTTCCGAGGCCCAAAGCTCTTCATGGAACACATGTTGTCTATGTGCAACAGAGTTCAAGGGGTAGGCTGGGCTACAGGAATCATGAAGCAACCTCAGGCATCCCAGGGGCATTTCTATGCCCATAAAAACACCAACTTCCTCCTTCCACCCACACCTTGGCAGAAACCTGCCACAATCTAACACAGACAATCAGAGAAGTTTCAAAATCACTTTAATTTACACTGGGCCAGTAGGGCTAGGTGCAGCAATTGTTCTGGTACTTCCAGCTTCCAAGTAAACAGGCAGCCCACTGGCCAGCCAGAGGGAGAGAGGCAAGAAGGTAATGGGGGTGCTAACTACTCACCAACCACCTGGTGCTAAATCTAGCGCTTTCAAAATGAAGAGGCTCTGTTACTTTGGGTATCTAAAATGATCCTAGTTGCCAGATATCACAGTGACATAGCTTTGCTACCCAAACACAGGCCTGGGATAAGTCAGAAATTCCGAGTTTTAATCCTGACTCTGTTAAGGGTTGCTGAATGCCTTGCTTTTAAGGAGACAGAGGCCGGAACTTTCCTGTGAGAAACTGTTCAGGTTCATTGAGTCCTTTCATCACCAAGGCTTCAGAGAAGGGCCCTGGAGTGGTTTTAACCATGCTCTCCTTTTGCTTCCCAACCATGACGCCGACTGCCCCGACTGTCTCTGTGGAAGGAGCTGGGGCGAGAGAAAGACAGGAGAAAGGCAGGGAAGGACAGCAGGGAGGGCACGAGGCAGAGGGAAACGGACGAGAAGAACAGAGCAGGTCCCCCCAAAAGCAGGTCCAGAGGGCCACATTCCCAGACTCATGCCTCTCCCCATCCCACTCCCAGCTTTGGAAGGAGATATCCAATATTTGTTGTGAGGAAAAGTCAGACCAAGTGTTCTGGAATTTGAGCATCACAAAAACAAATCTGGTTTTACTATTCACTGGCTTAGTTTTGCCAAGCTCTGGAAAATTATAAATCATTCCATGATGAAATTTTTTTTTTTTTTTTGCATCAGCTCAGAGAATATCAATTGCTAGTTCTAGAATAAAAAACTGATAATGTTTTAGTATTCCAGCCTGCTATTCAAGTATTCCATCTTGAAGGACTGCATAATTGTTTTCTGGGGAGATCTAAAGGGGATTTTCTGTTTGAAATATTTGAAATATTTGTATTTCAATTTGGTTTGATGAAAACATGGGTGTGGGAGTCAGGCACCTGCCTTTTATTTCTGGCTCTGTCACCGATCTGCTGTGCAATTCTGGGTTATACTCCTAACGCCTCTGTACCTAAAAGTGTTGAGTCCACAA